TCACCATAATTCTCATATTTTTAGAAAATTATTTTATGACAAATTTATTGTAACCATCAAGTACTTGTTGGAAAAACGCTACCTAGAAAGCATAATGTCACTGTGAAAGATTACAAGAATTTCATGTGTTGGCATAATCATTTTTAAATGATTTCTTGGAATTATAATCTTTAGTCATCAAGTAGACAGTAAAGAAAAAACTGTTCTTGTTAATCATTACAGTGAGAAATGATTCCAACTTATATTTTATATTCAGATTAACCTCTTTTCAATTCACCATTTAAAGGTTTAACTAATTAGTTTAATTGTACAGAATATTGTACCAAATTTGTTCAAGTTGAATTCAGTGACCATCCTCTATGAATTAGTAGTCTGAAAATACTCTACTGTAGATCATACTATTAAGTTCACAGAGCACTACATTGTTAATGAATGTTAATCCGTCCTAATCCTACCTTCTTTCTCAATATAGAATCAACTATCCCTTTGTGGTGTATACATTTCTATTGTTGCTCAAATCACATTGCATTGTAATTTTTCTTAACCAAAATGTTTTCTGGCCACTGTCTTGGATGTTAAAAGCAGAGATTTATCATTGCAAGACTATGATGCTCATCAGAATCTCTGAATGCTAGAGTTGGTAGACGTCTGAAGATCCTAAAATCCAGTAACTTTTCATTTAAAGATGGAAAAACCGAGGCCCAGAGGGGAAATAACTTGCACAACGCTACATAATGGTGGAACCTAGATTCTAAGCAGAATCTTTAGGTCCAGACTTGTACTAAATCACTAGAGTCTAGAAGTATCTTAGTTATTTCCACATTATTCTTGGATAGAATATACTGGAGTTGGATTTCCTTGTCAAGTTGCAATGAATATAGAGGATTTCATATCTCCCTGGCACCTCAAAAGTTCTGGTGTCACTAATCTGCTCATCAGAAGGAAGTGGTATTTTATCTGAGTCAGCCCCATTGGAGAATTTTTATTTACCCTCTTTTCTCTGATGTGAATTCAAAGTATATTCCTGAAGTTCAAAATCTCATAAATACCACTTCCTTCTAAAAAGACACATACCTAATTTAAAAATACTTCAGCAAAAAAAGCTAAACATTATCTCAGCTTGAGTGAGTTGTAATCATTTTAGTGGTACAGTGTTTTGCCTGGATGTTGAGGGCTGCTGCTGACTCATCAGGGTGGTGGTCACTAAAGGCTGAGATGGCCGTGGCAATTTCTTGAAATAATACAACAATGAATTTTGCTGCATTGATTGACTCTCCCTTTCACAAACACTTTCTGTAGCATGCAGTGCTATCTGATAGCATTTTAGTTCTCACAGTAGAACTTCTTTCAAACTTGGAGTCAATTCTCCTAAACCCTGCAGCTGCTTTACCAACTGAGTTTATGTAATATTCTAAATCCTTTGTTTTTTAACATTTAGAGGTAAAAGAGATAGTATTTTTGTGCCTGGAAAAAAGCAAAAGACCAAAGCATTATTCTGCAGCCATTGTTATATCTGAATCAAATACAAAGGAAAAAAATCCATATCCCAAATAATTCAGTGAATTCTATTGTTTATGGTTGCACATGGCATTCCCCACCTCAGTATACACACACACACACACACACACACACACACACACACACATACACACACAATTTTAATGCTGTTTAAGCGTATTTGAATCCTAAAAGAAATACGTGTGTTCAGGTGAATGAAAAACTGTTGTCTGTCCAGCAGAGTCCAATAAAATATAGCATTTCTGAAACAAATCATTGAGATAGTTGTCACTCTCAAACTTGGAAGATTCCTCTTTACAAGTGAGGCCATTTTTTGATAACCATCAGCCCTGCAATGTCTGGTAATTATGACAGATCATTCTGAGCTGTCAATTTTATTTTTTTGATGAAACTAAAGCTAGAGTAATAGATTCTTGTCTTTATCTCACCTCTAACTTCAGTGACCCAGTTCATTTTATTTTTCTCAGCCATACATCATATTGGAATTTCCCACAGGTTAAGGCCCACATCTACTCTGTATGCAGGTCTTCCTGGAAATGATTGAGGAAAACTGATCACAGTTTTTTAAGTGTGCTTAATCTTCTCTAATCTTGTTTTAAATCTCTTTATCTTTTCTCCTTAAATGTTTTCTGAGGGTTTATTAGCTCCAGAAAGTAGGTAAAGAATGCTGTAATAAATTTCTTCTTGTAAATCAACATTAACAACATTATTACTAAACTCAGCTGAGTTTATTCTAACCACATTTGTTCTGAAAAGCCCAGAGACGCGGGTGAGTGAGCTGAAACTCTGTTCACTGATAGGGACTCCTTTCTTGATAACTTCAGATTCAAACCGTCCAACCTCCATTCTCAGGGGTCATCTGGACTGTCCTACCCACTATACATAAGAGATATTTTTCTAGAATCACCAAATTCCAGGTCTAGACTGGCAGCTCTATGTACTGATGACAGTACAGGTGCTGTTTTGTGCTAAAAATGCTTCTCTACTCTGAAACTCTTCAAGGGCCTGAAACTCTGCTAACCTCCTATGGTTGATGACTCAGGCGGTGGAACACCTAAATCACGCTGTCTAGTGGACTCAGTGCTTGCTTTTGAACATATGTTAAAGTTAAGCATGTTTATTCATGGGTGAGTAAAAACGTTCCTTGAAACATAGGTGCCCTTGTAGTTGAGAATTCTGCACCACAGACTTAGATCTACATTTTTATAAATTTCAGGCCCTCTTGTTACTTTGTTCAAATATGCAGACAGTATATTCCTTCAATGCTTCATCAAAGCCATGATCATTTGAATACTTTAAGTGATCCATAGACGCCTTCCAAGTCCTCCAGGAGATGCACACCTTTACATTCCAGTTTTCACCTTTCAGACCTAAAGATAATAAGCATCTCAGTGTTGGATGTGTATCATGCAAACGAGCAACTGAAGCAACTGCCCACTGCTGGATGATATAATTATTAGAAACAGAGCAAGGGCAATGTTCATTTTTCAAGCCTGAGTGGTTATTTCCTTGTTAATACAACCTTAATCCACATTTAATGTTCTTCAGATGCACTATAGGTATTCCTACGTCCCTTCCTCTCCTCACGAGCAGCTGATCTTGCAGGACTGTCACCATTACCGTGGCTTTCAAATACTTGTCTTCCTCACAGTTTAAGGATGATTTCCTGAGCTTATTACAGACACTTGCCGATCTTATACAGAAAATTATAAGCTTACACAATTTTTTTAAACACTGTTTTCCTTGCAGTCGGCATTTCTTGCCTCTGTTAAATACTTTCCATTATTTCTCAGTTGCGCTACTGGAGTTTGCTGAGCCGGCCAGGCTCGCTCCAGAGCTACATTCTGAAGACACGCAGGTGCTGCAGAGCTGCTGCGAACTGTCACTTTTTATCCAGCTAATCACGGTCACAGTTTGATTAACTGTTTGCCTTTGTCTGCTGCCTACAGTGATGCAACTTCAGCTCTCTCATCTTGATGGCATCTGGAAGGATCTGGTAGGAATGAAACTGCAACATAATTACTTCACACTGAACAAAGAAATAAAATCATCCACTGAAAAGCTGTGTAGGTGTAAACAGAGTCCTGTAACTATGTGAGAAAATGACTGAAGAGTCTTTATTCACTAAAGAGTTCTCATTTTTCTTTCATTCTGTAACAGTATTATGAAAATAGTTTGAATTTTAAACTTGCATCTAAAGTTTTTCTCAGTGTACTCAGAGACTATTCTGTGTGGTATTAAGTAAACACATTTCCAGAATGAAGTCTGCCTATTTATGCATATTTAAACAAACAAATAAGCAAAGGTAATTATGAGGGTGTTAAATTTCAGGATGAGTATCTGTAACAAATGTTAAAGGCTGGCCAACTGGATCATGTACTAGTTCCAAGAATGAGTGTATTATGGGGGAAAAAAAATCATAATTTGTCCTCAAAGCACTCTCTCTGAAACAACCTTACATAGAGTGAATCTTCTAGAGGATTCCCTGACATTTTTCCAAAATACCTAGTAATAGATTGTTGATCAGCTATAAATATTTTAGCCAAACACTGTATTTAGTTTAGGTTATTTACATCTGAGATACAGTCTGCCAACATTGCTTAATTATAGTGATCATTCAAAAAAAAATAAAAGGTGAAGTCATGAAATCCCAGTAGCCATTGGCAAATACTGAATAATTTCTCTGTGAAGACATTGATTTTTGCAGTATAAAATGTACAAAAGATGTTTAGCAGGAATTCTACAACAAAATATATATGGAAAGAATGTCGAAACTCTTTGGAAGAAAAATTATTTTGTTTTCTAAATTCTTTCTTTTTGCAGAAAGTCGTTCTTAGGAAACACGTGCTTCAAAAATATCAGTCTGTCATTCACAACTCAGAATGGCCCGGATAAAAACAGCTGTGATCTTTGAAACTAGTTTGCTTTGTATTCCAATTCTGTTCAAAGCATCCATTTGAAAATAAGATAAAGTTATCAACATGTCTGTGAGCCTCAAAAAATGTTTGGCATAATTAATGTAGAAATTTTGATAAACTTATTTTTTATCATATAAAATATAAAGCAAATTCACTGCTCATTCATTTGCAACCATAATTTTTTCTCCCAGAGTCTGCTGAAGATAAGAATAGGATGATTTCTAATACACAGTTGTGTAATTCTAGTAATATTCTCAGTAAGAGCTTATTTGACAAATTTGAATCCCAACATTAATTTTAAAATAGAAAAGACAGAGAAAAACACTTTAAGATAAGACATCTCTGGGCTTAAGAATATTTAGATATTGATTTGTATTCACTCCAGTTTTTTTTGTCTTTTAATTTTTACCTCATCTTTATTTCACAGTATCTACAATTCTCTCATTTTCTCAGAAGTGTAAGGATACCAAATGACTCGACAAAGCTTTGCAATTTATTTTGAGGTATTTTCATCCTGGATTTTAAATTTGAAACCCTATGATCACATTTCTTTCTTCCCTAAAGCTTTGGATAATCTCAAAGGAAAACACCTCCCAAACATTTGTGTTCCCTCTGTAAATCTTGAAAATCCTGAATCCGGATTGTTTCATCTGGCATAAACCTTCAGGTTTGCAAAGGTGAGTAACCAACCATGCCCTAATACAGCCAGTCATGTAATTTGAAATGAAATTTGATTCCTCCACTTTTGGAATAAACAATCCTATTTGAAAATGAGAATCACAGCCCATTTGCGTGACTGTTTCACCGTAACATACAATTGTCACTGTTTTTTCAGAAAGGCTAGGAAACACGAAATAGGACTGCTGTTCCCTTGAAGAACATCACTTGATTACTGCATAAGAAAATGGTAACTCTAACAGAAAAGAAGAAAGAAAGAAAATAAAACCTTTAGTTTTGTCAGGTAATATATTAGCAAGCAGATGAGACTAAGAAAATTGCTCCTTTGATAGAGGTAAAATTCAATTGTTATATATTTTAAAGTGATAATTCTATTAAACATGGGGTAAATATGCATTTAACAATTTCATCTGAAGTTAGAAATATACTATATAAATATACTATTAGTCCTACTCTGATTATTTAACCCTTAAAAAGTCACAAAAAGCACTTACTGTGACTTAAGCATCCTTTACATAAAGTTTCTAGCTGTTGATTTTGAAGAAAATAAGAAATTCATTTTTTGAGCTAATCTTATGTAGGTATCAAAGTGACAATGACTGACGGTGGCTTCTTTCGCCTTTCAATCAACAGTGGGGCCTGTGTGGAACGTTGTCATGTCCAAATGAAGGGTAAACTGACAAAAGTG